ATATAGAATATTCCATCCATCCTGTAATATATAAAAATGTTCCAATACTGGAAGTATATATAATTGGATCATGGATTTAGATACATTTATTTTATTAAGTTTTTAACGCCATGTCAACAGCAGGACAAGAATATAGCCATCTTTAAAATCTTTATAAAGAACAAAGAGGGGTTGAGGGGGGGTCATAAAATTAACAAAATATATTTAAAACATTTTAAGTTAATATGAGACAACAATTTTAAATTCTTTCAGGTGATACTTTATTAAATACACTTTAGGGTTGCATTAGTCATTCATAAATTATTACTTAAATTGCTAGTCATAAATGCCACACTATACAGATTTAGTAACTACTAGCTAGTAGTTTGTAACTAACTCTGTACTTAAACTAATAAAGTAATTAATTCAATGATTTTCTCGATGTATAAATGTAAACGAGTGTTAATGTCAACATTATCATATTTGTCTAAATGATTGAAGTCTGTCAAGTAAAACATGAGCTTTTTCATGCAGTGTTGTTTTATTCCAGTCATTAGTAGTCTATACATAAAGTTGAGTTTTAATGCAACATAGACATTTTTAGTGCATAAGTTGCATCTTTACATCATGATACTCAACTTATGCGCAGCTAATGCTTGATCTTGAGTGAGGATTTGAACGCTGACTCTTAAATGAATAAACGGACCAGCATTTGTTTATGAATCAGACTTCACTGATCACAGTATGTTCCTGTTAAACAGCTTCTGTTTATAACTTACTTACTGTTAAATAAACACAATATATAAAATAAATAAATAATACATCTTCTTTTATAGTGAGAATCAGGACTTACTTATACGATAAAATAAAAACCCATAATAAAGCTTGTGCATTATCATTGTCCGAGTTTAAGGCGTTTTTGCTGCAAGGTCTAAATTTGAATGCTGACCAATTAAAAGCATTCATGGATAAAACTGCTGAATATATGCAAATATGCAGAAAAATGAATGCTAAGCAAACACAGGCTACAGCAGCAAGAAACCTCACTTGCAATCGTGTGATATGATGCCATAATGTGAAGTACAACATTCATAAATCACAATATCAGTGTATTTGGTCTTCCTACCCTTCTGTCATAAGAAACGACCTTCACCCATCCCGGGATCCAGGTGAATGGATCCGCTCTCCTCCGGGCCGGAGACATGCGTGCGAGATCGGCTCGGGTCCGGGTCAGAGCCCTGGAGAACCGAGCCGGTCGGTGAACGCGAGTCAGTGTGGCTTTACCATCCATCGTGAGTCCGCACGTCTTCCTCAACATCCAGAGAATCCCGGTCCTCATCCCAGGCTTTTCCAGCCCTGCTTCCGAACAGGTTATTTTTAAACAGAACGAGCGCTGGTGTTGAGATCAGGTTCTGTGTCTCTCAGCGTTTCTGGAGAACACGCCAGCACAAAGAGAAACTCAATCTCTCGCTCGGGATTACTGCTAACAAAGGGTTATTTACGGCTGTTTTTACAGTTCACTGGAACAAATAAAGATAATGAAGAGACGGGATCGCTATAAAGAAATGCACATTGTGTCTCATCGATCGCCTGTACGGTGTAAGGTCATCGAGGGTTTCATCAAATACAAAGAGCTTATTGCTAAATGATTGTGTCTTGGGTGGAATGACCTTTAATCTATTCAACATCTGGATCTCATGTACAAATGCAGAGAGAAGGGGAAACTATTATAAATGTGCCACAAAATCATCCAAAAATTCTAGTTGCATCACTTGAATCTTATTAACATACACTGTGAAACATAATCATGAGCAGCTGTTTGAATTAAGAGCCATTTCTGTAACATTCTGCCTTTGTTCTGAACTTTATAAGCCAATCACTGGAACTGTAAATGCCATGTGACTAACTACTCTGGAAACACACAAAGAAAGAAAGAATATATACTGTATATATGCAAGTCCATTTCATGCTTTAAAGAGCCCATGGGAACTGGTAAAATATCGAAAAAATTATTTTAAGTGGTTAATTCAGCCATATTTAACATATATATATATATATATATATATATATATATATATATATATATAATAATTAGCCTAATGCCAGTTATTATTTTATGTATTTATATGTACATTGGCGTTCAGAAGTTTGAGGTCAGTAAGAAATTAACACTTTTATTCATAAGGATGCTTTAAATTAATCAGAAGTGACAATTTATAATTTTACAAAAATTCTGTTTCAAATAAAAGCTGTTCTTTTGAACTTTCTATTCATCAAAGAATCCTGAAAAATAAAACGCTTCACGGTTTTCACATTTTGTTTTTACAATATTATTATTAAACGTATTATTGAACAATATTATTGTTTTTACTGTATTTTTGATCAAATAAATGCATCCTTGGAGAACAGGAGACTCTCTCAAAACATTTTAAAATCTTACCGACCTCAAACTTTTGAACACTTGTGTATAAATTATGGAACCAATACATCTGTGTTCATTATACAATCTGGGATGTCAAATGCACATTCATAAAGACAAATAATGCACTAAATTAGCCAACCATAAAACGGTTACACAGCTAAAACAATCAGAACTTGTTCATAACCTGTGTACGAACAGCATCAGTTTATCAGACATGCTGGAGGACATATGTTTAATGAAGAGTTTACATGGGCTTCCTGACCCCTGCTGACCTCTGCTAACCCCTCCTGACCCCTCCTCACACTTCCTGACCCCTCCTGACCCCTCCTTACCCTTCCTGACCCCTCCTTACCCTTCCTGACCCCTCCTGACCCCTCCTGACCCCTCCTTACCCTTCCTGACCCCTCCTGACCCCTGCTGACCCTTCCTGACCCCTCCTTACCCTTCCTGACCCCTCCTGACCCCTCCTTACCCTTCCTGACCCCTCCTGACCCCTGGTGACACCTCCTTACCCTTCCTGACCCCTCCTGACCCCTGCTGACCCCTCCTTACCCTTCCTGACCCCTCCTGATCCCTCCTTCACCCCTCCTGACCCTTCCTGACCCCTCCTGACCCCTCCTTACCCTTCCTGACCCATGCTGATCCCTCCTTCACCCTTCCTGACCCCTCCTGACCCCTCCTTACCCCTCCTGACCCCTGGTGACACCTCCTTACCCTTCCTGACCCCTCCTGACCCCTGCTGACCCCTCCTTACCCTTCCTGACCCCTCCGGATCCCTCCTTCACCCCTCCTGACCCCTCCTGACCCTTACTGACCCCTCCTGACCCCTCCTTACCCTTCCTGACCCATGCTGATCCCTCCTTCACCCCTCCTGACCCCTCCTGACCCTTACTGACCCCTCCTGACCCCTCCTTACCCTTCCTGACCCATGCTGATCCCTCCTTCACCCCTCCTGACCCCTCCTGACCCTTACTGACCCCTCCTGACCCCTCCTTACCCTTCCTGACCCCTGCTGATCCCTCTTTCACCCTTCCTGACCCTTCCTGACCCCTCCTGACCCCTGCTGACCCCTCCTTACCCTTCCTGACCCCTGCTGATCCCTCCTTCACCCCTCCTGACCCCTCCTGACCCCTGCTGATCCCTCCTTCACCCCTTCTGACCCCTCCTGACCCCTGCTGATCCCTCCTGACCCCTGCTGATCCCTCCTGACCCCTCCTGACCCCTCCTGACCCCTGCTGACCCCTCCTGACCCCTCCTGACCCCTGCTGACCCCTCCTGACCCCTGCTGATCCCTCCTGACCCCTGCTGATCCCTCCTGACCCCTCCTGACCCCTGCTGACCCCTCCTGACCCCTCCTGACCCCTCCTGACCCCTCCTGATCCCTCCTGACCCTTGCCACATTATCTGTCACACACTGTATTAAGCCACAAACTTTGGAAGCTTTTCTCCGCCACAGAATAAAAATAAACATTTTAGAAATCTGAGTTTCTATCTCGCAATTCTATTATTTTTTTCCCCTCGACACAGAATAAAAAAAATAAAAAGGCAATTGCTTTTTATTTCTGACAATTCCCAATTTCTGACTTTTCTCCAAATTGTGAGGAAAAAAAGACTGAAATGTAAGATAAAACGTTGCAATTATATATTTATCCTGTGGCAGAAAAAAGCTTCCAAACACCAAAACAAAGTGTGCTTGTATATATGGTTTATGAGACACAAATGTGTAATGATGGGTATTACAGCATGGTTTGTACAGTATAAAAACCATTATAAAATGGTTAGTTCCAGTCCTTGATTCTGATTGGTCAATAGCTGTGTTTTATTCACGATAAACCGCTTCACCCAACGGTTCTATGTATCACTACACAACACCCCTAGCAACCACTCTTAGCAACGTAAACATATGTTTGTTCTCATTGATATTGTTCACTGAAGCTTATAGAGTATTGTGCGAGATCGAGTAAGCGAGTGTTCCTGCATTTACAGTAGATATAGCATCTTCCTTCAGGTCAGTCTTATGTTCATCATAAAACATACGTTTGAATGTCCGCTGCGATATCTTGTCGTTTTAAACAGGGTTTTCCCGTCATTTGTCAGATGAGTCTTGCTTCTCTGTGTTCACAAGTTTCAGTCCTTTCAATATAAAGTCTTCTCTACTGACTCACGCACTCATAAAGACAGTCTCTGCCGCCATCTAATGGAGAAATAATGCTCTTCTGTTGCTGTTCACGGTCAGGGACTAGTTTTTCCAGCGGAAGGAAGGCTTTTAGTGATTTTACTTCATGAAAGTTGCAATAATACATATTTTTTGGCTTTAATATTTGTATTGTGTGGTAACCGTTTTCTAAAAGCTGTAAGGTACTCGAGGCTCGTGCTGTGTGGGGAATAAGTCACGACTGACTGGAGCCTAACAACACCCTTCAGACTTATTCACCACACAGCCTCAAGAACCTTAGTGCTGACTTACATCTATTTAATATCCCCGTAAACCACCAATGCCAACATGTGTGTGTGTGTGTGTGTGTGTGTGTGTGTGTGTGTGTGTGTGTGTGTGTGTGTGTGTGTGTGTGTGTGTGTGTGTGAGAGAGAGTTTACTCACAGAGGACGAGGGGTTCCTCACTGTCACGCTGGGTGTTGTGGCTCTGAGAGCTCCACTCAGACCATGATAATATTTGAAGCAAACCTTCGTCTCGGCTGCGAGACACAGACACAGAAACAGGAATGAATGACATGAAGGTCGAGAGACACGAGGATCCAGTGTTAAAGAGCTGAGGGGAAAACAGCAGAACATCTCCTCAAACTCTCAAACTAAATGCAGAAATCAGAAGTTGAGCTGCTGTTGTAATTACTGTTACGACCCTGTGTTCTGCTTGCTCGCCTGCTGGTGGCGGTGTTGCTCTGAGAGAGCGTGGGAGATCGCACACACCTGCTTCCTCCGATCATCTTTGATTATGAAGAGGATAAAACCTTGGATTGAACATCTCATCTTCACTTCGTCCAGGGGGACTGACAGCCTCTGGCGAAGTCATTCGAACCTTTTGATTTACAGCCCATACCAACCTTCTTTTACTCCCCAACCGGATTATGATTTTTGACCCTTTTGATTTGAAACCCTAGACTTTGTTATATTCAGTTTATTGTGATTTTTGAGGACGAATAAAATCTTGCAAGTCATTTTCGGTGTACTTGTTTACTTTATGTACGGCCGAAACGAGCTGGCCGTAACATAAATTGGAGTCTCGTCCGCGATCCTATTGTGGTAGGAAACGTTGGTAAGTATGGGTTGTATGTGTGTATGTTTTTGTGAATGGTTACCTTTATAAATGAGAACTCTGGTGAGTTAGAGTGTTTCCAGCTGGATTGTGAATACAATCCTTCCGTCGGAGCACTGTTTGTTGTTTTGTTTTGTTATTTTGCCTTTCTTGTTTTTGGAGGTTATCCTGGGTGGAGATTAACTCTCTGTAGGGGGTACGCTTCCGGACTTTCAGTTTGACTGATAGTTGCGGAGTTCAGCGTTTAATGTCGCCTCGAGCCCGGTACATCTCTGAAGACCAGGTAGGATTTAGTTATTGTTTTTCTGAGTTAGGAGCTGGAGTTCTCTTATATTATAAGTGGTAAATCCATTCTACAAAAAAAAAAAAAAGGGAAAATCGTTGAGATTGCGTGTATAGTGCAGTTTATTTTACGCTTACACTGTGTTTTGACTTGTGGGAAGTCTTTGAAAATTTTGTGAATGAGGTTGCGTAATACGGTGACGTAGTTCCTTTTTGAAGCTGTGGCTGGGAATTGTATTTTGAGTAAACAGCGTCTCACGTGTGTTAGCTAGTAGTTTCGATTGTGTTATTGTGCATAAAACATACGAACGAAATGTCTTCGGTGGTCGAGGATTTCTTTGCGTGTCCATCAGAAGCTTTGCTTGAGAGTTGTACAAAGGAGCAGTTGGTGCAAATCGCCGAACGCTTCAGTGTCGATTTTACTTCTCAGGAGAAGAGGCTGAGGGAGACTATGGTGACTACTTTGAAGCGGTCACTTGTTGATAGAGGAGTTATAGAGGTAAGCACAGAGCTAATCACTCCGAGTGAATCGTTTGTGTCTACTCCTGCTGAGGTTTATAGTGAAAGTGAGACGAAATTTCCTGAATTGTCTTTGCAAGAGAAGCAATTGTGTTTAGATGCCGCGAAAATTCGTGCTGAACGAGATGATCGCGCTATGAAAGAGCGAGCGGTAGAAAGAGAATTTGAAGAGAGGAAATTAAATCATCAGTTAGCTATGCGAAGAATGGAGCTTGATTTAGAAGAGAGAACGCTTCAGTTAGAGAAGGAACGTGACGAGAGAGCATTTGAGATAAAAAAGTTGGAGTTAGAATTAGCAGCAAAGACGGCTGAAGCTTCACAAGCAAATGTGCCTCCTGTTCCACAACAGCATGCGAATGCAGGTGAACCTGTGTTTGATGTTCACAGAAATATGAGATTAGTGCCGCCATTTTCTGAAAAGGAAGTGGATAAATATTTCTATCACTTTGAACGTGTTGCTTTATCCATGAAATGGCCGAAAAGCTTTTGGACTTTATTGTTACAGTGTGTGTTCACAGGTAAAGCTCAGGAAGTTTATTCTGCACTCTCACTGGAACAGAGTGGTGAGTATGATGTTGTGAAGTCTGCTGTGTTACATGCATATGAACTCGTGCCTGAGGCATATCGTCAGAAATTTAGGACTTTGAGTAAAGCTGATGAATGTACTCATGTTGAGTTTGCAAGAGAAAAAGAGAACTTATTTGATCGTTGGTGCACTTCAATGAAGGTTACAACTAGAGAGCAGTTAAGAGAATTAGTGCTCTTAGAGGAGTTTAAACATTGTGTTCCTCATGCTGTAGCTACGCATCTCACTGAACACAAGGTGAATACACTTTCAGAAGCTGCTATCATGGCTGATGAATTCGTATTAACCCATTGTGAGTCATTCAGTTCAGTCGGTCTTAAAACCAACAATATGAGTAAGTCTAAGTTTTGCTTTCAACCTAAGACAAAGTCTCCTGTGATGAGTAGGAATAGTAAGACAACAGCTGCTGAACATTCTAGTAAACCTGTAGTCTCACGAGACATGGTTTGCTTTTATTGTAAAAAGCCTGGTCATAAAATATCTGACTGTCAGATACTCAAGAGGAAAGAGAGATTGTCGAAACCTGTTGCTTTGGTTTCTACCTCACCATTTACTATTGACACTCGTGATGAGAAAGATCGTCATTTGTCCAGTTCTGGTGATAAATCTGTTGATCAGTGTACAATTTCTTCTGTTGATTATACACCTTTTATCACAGAAGGAAATGTGTCATTGCCTGGTTCAAATGAAACGGTGCCAATACGTCTTCTTCGAGATACAGGGGCTGCGCAGTCGTTTCTGTTAGAGGGAATTTTACCCTTGACTTCTGAAACCGCTACTGGAACTCATGTGTTAGTGCGAGGTTTTGAGATGGGGTTTGTTGAAGTGCCTTTGCATCGAATCCATCTTTCCTCTGCCATTGTATCTGGTGATGTAGTAGTTGGTGTTCGTTCTGCACTTCCAGTCCCTGGGATTACATTTATTCTGGGAAATGATTTAGCTGGTGGGAATGTTTGGGGTTGGAGTGAAGGGGCAGCTCCACCCATAATAGCATCTACACCTAGGAAATCTGATGTTGGAAATTGTAGAGAATTTCCTGATTTGTTTCCAGCTTGTGCAGTTACTCGATCAATGGCTAAACCATTATCTGAAAATCAAGTTGAAGTTCCACTGCATGATACCTTCTTCTATACTGTTCATACAGGTGATTCAGGATCGGATGTATCCAAGAGTCCTGAGCAAGGAGACCTGAAGTCCTGTTCTTCGTTGTCTTCTGACCAGAAAGAATCGACAGTGTTGCGACATGAATCTAACGATACATTAGAGGTTCTGTCCACTCTTGAGAAAACCAATGTTGATCTCTCTGATGTTGATTGTTCTCTGACTTCTTTGTTCCAGATTTCTCGAGAGGATTTGATTAGAGCTCAACAGAGCGACGACAGTCTTAAAACCTTATTCTCTGAAGTAGGGTCTAAGAAGTGTTCTGATCCTCAGTCTTCTTCGTACTTTCTTGATGATGGTCTGCTTTGTCGGAAAGTGGTGTTGCATGAAGATGTTTCTCCTGAACCTAAAATTCAGATTGTGGTTCCTTTTACGATGAGGGAATCCGTGTTGCATTTAGCTCATCAAGGACTTGCTGGTCATACCGGAGTTCGTAAAACGTACGATCGAGTCTTACGACAGTTCTATTGGCCGAAGGTGAAACGAGATGTGGCAAAACATATTCGATCTTGTCATACATGCCAGATCACCGGTAAGCCAAATCAAAAGTTACCTGTTGCTCCGTTGCAACCTATTTCCGTCGGTTCCACTCCTTTTGAGTATTTGGTAGTTGACTGTGTTGGTCCTTTGCCTCGGTCCAAGACTGGTCACCAATACCTTTTAACCATTATGTGTCAGACTACTCGTTATCCGGCTGCTTATCCGTTAAGGTCCATTACTACTAAATCTGTCTTGAAGGCTCTCACTAATTTCATGTCGACCTTTGGAATACCTAAAGTCATTCAATCTGATCAGGGTTCGAACTTTATGTCAAAACAGTTCTCAAAAGCCCTGCGTCAACTTCGAGTGAAACACAATATTTCTAGTGCTTATCATCCACAGAGTCAAGGAGTTCTTGAAAGGTTTCATCAAACCCTGAAGTCCCTTTTGAGGTCATATTGTGTGGAACTCGATGCGGATTGGGAAGAAGGTCTGCCATGGATGTTGTTAGCGATCCGTGAGGTAATCCAAGAAAGTCTTGGGTTTAGCCCAAATGAATTAGTGTTCGGACATGTAGTGCGAGGACCTACAACTGTGTTAGCTGAGGAGTGGCGAATGTCTAAACCTTCTGGAAATATTTCAGATTATGTGAGTGGATTCCGGCGTAGATTATATGAGGCACGAGCTCTTGCTAAAAAGAAATTGAGTAAGTCTCAAATAAAAATGCAACAACGCTTTGACAAGAAAGCTAAATTAAGAGAATTTCAGGTGGGTGAACAAGTATTGGCTTTATTGTCTCTACCTGCAAATCCATTTCAGGCTAAATTTACAGGCCCTTACAAGATAGTTAAACGTCTTTCTGATGATGGCTGTCTGTTGGGTGCTCCTGATCGGAGGAAGAAGGTACAGGTGTGTCGCAGTGGCCTGTTGAGGTTGTACATAGTTCCTGTTCGTCCCGTTGCTGTTGATGTGGTGAACTCTTGTGATTCTTTTCCGGAGTTGTCGTCTTCCTTTCGTAGCCCGAGTGGGGGTTCTTTGGAGAGTGCTGATGAGGATGAGAGTTTTCTTTCTCGAGAAAAGGTCGACGGGCGACTTGGGAACTCTGGGATTCTTCTTGATCTGTCCTCTCGTCTTTCTTGTCTGGCGGAGAGGGAGAGGAGTGATGTCACTGAGTTGGTGATGTCATTTCCCTCTCTTTTCCGTGATGTTCCTGGTCGTACATCTATCATAGAACATGATATCGACGTAGGAGCCTCATGTCCTGTTAAACAGAACGCATATCGAGTCAATCCTTTTAAAAGAGATTTGCTGAAACAAGAGGTGAACTATCTACTTGCTCATGATCTGGCTGAATGTAGTTTCAGTTCATGGAGTTCCCCTTGTGTTCTGGTAAATAAATCTGATGGCTCATATCGATTCTGCACAGATTATCGAAAACTAAATTCTGTTACTAAGCCGGATTGCTTCCCTTTGCCTCGAGTTGATGACTGCGTCGATCATGTTGGCTCTGCTCGATATGTTAGTAAGTTCGATCTCCTAAAGGGATATTGGCAGGTGCCGCTGACTTGTCGAGCGAAGGAATTATCCGCCTTCGTCACACCTGATGCTTTCCTGCAGTATACGGTTATGCCTTTCGGAGTGCGAAATGCACCCGCGACGTTCCAGCGTCTCGTAAATCGTATACTGTATGGAATGTCAGGATGTGAGGCATATCTTGACGACGTGGTGTTGTATAATTCCTCCTGGTCTGAACATCTTAACCAGATTAAGGAATTGTTTTCTCGTTTAGCAAAGGCTAATCTGACCATAAACCTCGCTAAATCGGAATTCGCGAAGGCAACCGTTACCTACTTAGGTAAAGTCGTGGGAAACGGTTGTGTAAAGCCTGTCGAGACCAAGGTTGAAGCCATTTGTGATTTTCCCGTACCCACCACTCGTCGTGAATTGCGACGGTTTCTCGGTATGGTGGGATATTACCGGGGCTTCTGTGAAAATTTCGCCAGTGTGGTCTCCCCTCTTACCGATTTATTGAGTCCAAAGTTGACTTTTCAGTGGTCTGAGCTCTGTCAACAAGCTTTTGATAATTGTAAAGCGTTGTTGGCGTGTGCCCCTGTTTTAACAGCCCCGGATTTTGAGAAATCTTTTAGCCTTGCAATCGATGCAAGTGCTTGTGGTGCGGGTGCTGTCCTCTTACAGGAGGATTCGAACAAGGTTCTACATCCTGTAAGTTACTTTTCAAAAAAGTTTAATCGACATCAACAGGTATACTCTACCATTGAGAAGGAAGCTCTCGCCCTAGTGTTGGCCGTGCAACATTTTGAGGTATACCTAGGGTCCATCGCTGCACCGATTATCATCTATACGGATCATAATCCGTTGGTTTTCTTGAATCAAATGAGAAATCGAAATCAGCGACTTATGCGATGGAGTCTCATTTTACAACCTTTCCACCTTGAGATTCAACACATTCGAGGAAAAGATAATGTCATAGCTGACACCCTTTCCAGAGCATAACCTAACCTCTGCGTTGTCCATTTTCTTTTCTCTGCATCTCTAGGGCCCAGAGGTGCTGGAAAATGAAGAGAAGACGACGTCCAGAATGTCATTGCGCTTGTTTTGGGTTGTGCTTAATTGTTTTTTTTCTTGTTTTTTTTAGATTCGTGGCCGAATCTTTTTCTTTTGGAGGGAGGTGTTACGACCCTGTGTTCTGCTTGCTCGCCTGCTGGTGGCGGTGTTGCTCTGAGAGAGCGTGGGAGATCGCACACACCTGCTTCCTCCGATCATCTTTGATTATGAAGAGGATAAAACCTTGGATTGAACATCTCATCTTCACTTCGTCCAGGGGGACTGACAGCCTCTGGCGAAGTCATTCGAACCTTTTGATTTACAGCCCATACCAACCTTCTTTTACTCCCCAACCGGATTATGATTTTTGACCCTTTTGATTTGAAACCCTAGACTTTGTTATATTCAGTTTATTGTGATTTTTGAGGACGAATAAAATCTTGCAAGTCATTTTCGGTGTACTTGTTTACTTTATGTACGGCCGAAACGAGCTGGCCGTAACATTACCAAACAAATTACCAACCATTGATAATATATTGATAATAATCATAAATGTTTCTTGAGCATCAGATCCTCATATTAGAGTGATTTCTTAAGGATCATGTGACTCTGAAGACTGGAGTAATGATGCTGAAAATTCAGCTTTGATCACAGGAATAAATTACACTTTACTGTATATTCACATAGAAAACAGATGATTTACATTGGAGTAATATTTCACTGTTTTACTGTCATCAAATAAATACAGCCTTGGTGAGCAGAAGAGGCTTCTTTCAAAACATTCAACATTTTACTGACTCCAAATGTTTGAATGCTTTTACTATAGAACAAAAAAATGGCAAACATGGCTTAAAAATCATAATACTATCACCGTCCACCAACAGTGGGAGTGGCGTGAGTTTGCTGAGGAGAAGTTTGCATATCATCGCCGGATCCGTGTAATGAAAGCTGACATCTTGCTGAAGTAGATGTGAAACTCAACAGAATTACATGACTGGTTTCCCAGGGTGCATTGCAACTCAATCTCATTTCTGAAGGCTCCCTGCTGGTGTGTGTGTGTCTCTCTGTGTGTGTGTGTGGGGGGGGGGGGGGGGGGGGGGGGTGTATATGATACATCTGCTATTGTCATGTACAGTATGATGAACCAGTGGAGTGATGCGCTGTCAGAGGATTTCAGATGTGTGTGTGTGTGTCTGTGTGTGTGTGTGTGTGTGTGTGTGTGTCTGTGTGTGTGTGTGTAGTGTGTGTGTGTGTGTGTGTGTGTGTGTGTGTGTGTGTGTGTGTGTGTGTGTGTGTGATTGAGTGTGTCTGTGTCTCTCTGTGTGTGTGTGTGTGTGTGTGTGTGTCTGTGTCTCTCTATGTGTGAGGGTTAGTTGCATGTGATTATGCATAATTTACTGTTATTACTATGATAAGTGCATGTAACATATGTAACGGACACTATAAAATAAAGTGTTTTAATGCAAAACACGTGTGCTGATATTGATGCAGGTAAGTTAGGACAGGGTTTAAGCGTGGGTTAAGGTATTAATAATAAAAGTACAATACAACATGTACATGTATGCACAGAATAAGTGCATTGTACTAAATTATTAATTTAAATGTTTGTACATAGTTAAAGACACTTAATATAAACTGGGACCAATAATTGTGTCTTTCACCTCATTCAAACATCATATTATCACTAGATTGATCCGACGGTTCAAATCTAACGCTTTAGATGGACAGTATTTCACAAGTAAGACAGTGAACGCGAGGAACTTCAAAAGCTGAAAATCTGAATCCGGTTGGTTTTGAGGTATAGAAAGAGACCGAGAAAGCAGATTTATATAATCGCTTGTGTGAGTCGAGGTGAAGACACATTCCCAGATCAAAGCGGAGGACAGAAAAAAGAGCAGAAATATCTGAAATACGGGGATTTTAACCCTGAAGATGATCAAGTGCAGCTCGCATCTGTGGCTGGACTGTAGATTGCATTTATTTGTTGCCTGACAGAGAAATAAGTGCGTTCGAAACCCTGAGGCATTAATGAACGATGCGGGACGAGGAATACTCACCCTCCATAAAGTACAAGCTGGCGTCGATCCTCCACACGATCTGGCCTCGGTGCGAGCCGCTCACTCCTCGACTCTTGTAGTCCAGAAAGTTTTCTGACAGAACCTCGTCTAGAATAGAAGAACAGAGAGAAGAGGGGTTCGTTCTGCTATTATCTGTGTATCCGTTCAGACGTTTAAAGGGACATACAGTCAAACCTACATTTATTCAGACACCTTCATCATCACAGGTTATTCGCTATAGTTTAGACAATGGTGATAAACATGAGCAGAACTCAGTTGATATTTGACTGGTTTTGTCCGTCCTTCTGTTAGACTCTCACACA